ATGGGGAACTAATGTACACAAGGTTTTTTTCCTCCCTCTCTCTCTCTCTCTCTCTCTCTCTCTCTCTCTCTCTCTCTCTCTCTCTCTCTCTCTCTCTCTCTCGTCCCCCCTCTCCCTTACTCTTTCTCGTCCTCTCTCTCCATCTTAATGGCTTTTGCATCTTTTACCACCCAAAAGCTTTCATTGAAACAAACGATGTGTGAAGCGTTTCCCTCGGGGAAATACCTGGAGACATGATATATCATAGATCGTAACTTGTACGTACATAGACAACTCCGCAGGTGGTTGGTGGGTGCTCTGGTGGGTTTGCTCTTTCTATCCTCTCAAACATGTATCTGTATCGTCCTTATCTCGCCTTCTTCTCTTTTGTGTTTGTTACGCTCTTGTAACACTTCTAATCCTTGGCACTTATATGACCGTATTGTATTGCAAATGCCGAAAACCTTTTACTAAAACTAAACTAAATAGACAACTCCGCGAGTAGAAGGGAGGGGGGGGGACGAGGAAGGGGGAGGGGGCGTGGCAGGACATTTTTGTTGTATATTAGGTTACCATTAGCGATGAATGACGTAGAAACACAGCGTACAAATCATTCTTTGAAACGTCAAATGAACAATTACAAAAATAATCCAGCAACACGAACGTTAGGACGCTGTAAAAAAAATAAAAAATAATCTTGACAGTCATCAGTTTTTGAACGTGCCAAGAAAAGTATATCACACTGGAGTGGGTGGTTCCTGCCACGCGTATGTCGCTTGTTGCCGACAACTTCAGTATCGAATCATTTCTTTTTCGTAGTATCGATGAGGTACCAAGAAACTTCAGTAACTGTTAGGCCCTACTGCTATTTCTGCTTCGGCTGCTACTGATGATGATGATGATGGATGATGATGATGCTACTACTACTACCGCCATATGAATGATACTACTACTACTACTACTACTACTACTACTACTACTACTACTACTACTACTACTACTACTACTACTACTTGGTCAGGTTTAAGGTTCATACGGCCCCACTAGGCCTTGGAAATTCCCACTTGGCGCACACAGGCAATGATGCCATTTTTGCCAGTACATCTTTCTCCATAGATCGACAATGACGTCATACTTCACAGTTGTAGAACAAGAGAAGCAATCCATAGTGTACCCGGGGCTTAATTAGTCTCAATGACATACGCATGGACATTTTTGTTTGTTTGCTTGTTTGTTTGTTTTTATTTAATTCAAATTGCATACACTAAGCTCCATAGGTACCATTCATTGCTCATTTAATAAATTTAACGAGCCTTCTATGCGAATACTGTATGCTTGTTTAAAAGGCAGGATCTCCAAATTTGACGTCCAGATCCGATAAGATCCTTTCAAGAGAGCCTTATAAACTGTCCAAAAGATCCCAAAATTAGAATGCCGTCGTTAGGGATTCGAAAATGGGCCATCCGCTCCATCACAGTCTAGCATGGTACCATCAACTGAACTTATGATGCGCCCATGGACACACATATTAGGCCTTAATATAGGCGTGCTGTTTGGAAACATAAGTATAACTCTCATTAAATATTGTGCTTTAGCCGCAAATCTTTTATGACAATACCGGGTACCAAGGGAACAATTAAAAATTCTGAAGACAGTTTTTACTTGGATTATAAACGAAAGCAGGCCAACTCGAGACTTTGCTGCTGTGGCCACTGGCCTCAGTGGTTGAAGCGCATACTAATTATAATAATATACCCAAAACTACTCGTAGTTGGAAAATTAATGGGTATCGAGTACGGTTAACTGACACCGGTCCGAATCCAGTTCTCGCCGCGTGCTCAGGGTAGGTCTTGCTGACTGCTGTGAGACCTGCGGCGAATGACAGACAGATCTACCGAATGGTTTCCTGCCGTGCTCTGTACTTAGACGTACAGGTTAGACCCACATAATATTTATATATGAAGCTGCCTTTGAATTCCGAACGAAGCTCTCTCTTACCACCAGCACTGTGTAGTCGCGTTACAATTTGTGAGGACGTTGTTTAGTAGTGTCGTTACCGATAAAGAGATTTCGGAAACTTTTGGCTCTCTGGTTTAGATTGTGGGGACATAGAGACAGGCGTTTGACCTCGGTTTTTGTGTGTGTTTGTGTGATTCTGGATTACTAAGTTGACTGTGGGCCTTGGTTTGGACACTTCTTCTAAGGTATGTGATGAGTAAGGTTTATGGGGGTGAGTCAGTGCAAGTGTAACTCGAAACGTTCATCTCTTTGTTGGAACTTTTTGCTAGTTGGATGAGCTAGAGGTATGTTCTACTTCTCAATGTCTGTGTGTCTATTTTGGAAAAAGTTTTACGGCGTTCTCAACAGCATAAAATCATATGAGCGCCATGTGTCTGCAAGCGTGTGTGTGTGTCTGTAAGTGTGTGTATGTGTGTGTGTGTGTGTGTGTGTGTGTGTGTATGT